TCCATCCATCCATCCATCCATCCATCCATCCATCCATCATCCATCCATCCATCCATCCATCCATCCATCCATCCATCCATGGATTCCATCCATCCATCATCCATACATCCATCATCCATGGATTCCATCCATCATCCATCATCCATCCATCCATCCATCCATGGATTCCATCCATCATCCATCATCCATCATCCATCATGCTTGATTCCAGGCCATGCCTCAATTTCCTTTGGATTGATCCTCTGCTCTGCCTCAGTTTCCCTTGGATTAATCCCATGCTGTGCCTCAGTTTCCCTGCTTGGTTCCAGGCCGTGCCTCAGTGTTCCTTGGATTGATCCCATGCCGTGCCTCAGTTTCCCTTGGACTGATCCCAGGCTCAGGGATGGAATTTTGGGATGGGATTGAGGGTCAGGATTTAGGGACGGGATTTAAGGAGGGAATTTTGGGATGGGATTGAGGGACGGGATTTAGGGTCGGGATTTTGGGATGGGATTGAGGGTTGGGATTTAGGGTCGGGATTTTGGGACGGGGGCACCGCCCGGCCCCCCAGGGGGATTCTGCCCCTCCCCGACCCCGCGGTGGCCGGGGCTGCACTGGGGGGTCCTGGGGGGCCCGAGGTGGGACCCCACTCGCGGGATCGGGATCGGGATCGGGATTGGGATCGGGATCGGGATTGGGATCGGGATCGGGATTGGGATTGGGATTGGGATCAAAGTCAGGGTTGGGATTGGAGTCAGGGTTGGGATTGGGATCAGGGTTGGGATCAGGATCAGGATCGGAGTTGGGATCAGGATCGGGGTCAGGATCGGGGTCAGGATCGGGATTGGGGTCGGGATCAGGATGGGGGTCGGGATCGGGATCGGGATCAGGATTGAAGTTGGGATCGGGATCGGGATTGGGGTCAGGATCAGGATTGGGATGGGGATGGGGATCGGGTTTGGGATCGGGATTGGGTTCGGGATCGGGATCAGGGTCAGGATCGGGATCGGGTTCGGGATCTAGATCGGGATCAGGATCAGGTTCTGGATCGGGGTTGAGATTGGGATCAAGTTTGGGATCAGGATAGGGATTGGGATCAGGATCGGGATCAGGATCGGGATCGGTTTCAGGTTCAGGATCCCAAATCTGCCCCATCCTTGGGGACCCCCAAATCCACGTCTGGGACCCCAAATCCATCTCTGGGGACCCCAAATCAGCCCCAGGGACCCCAAAGCCTTCTTTTCCCCACTCCAGGAATCCCAAATCTGCCCCATTCCCTATCCCCAAATCTGCCCCATCCTCGGGACCCCAAATCCACCTCCAGGGACCCCAAATCAGCCTCGGAGACCCCAAATCCGCCTTTCCCCCATCCCAGGGATCCCAAATCTGCCCCATTCCCCATTCCCAAATCTGCCCCATCCTTGGGACCCCCAAATCCACCTCTGGGACCCCCCAAATCCACCTCTGGGACCCCCAAATCCATCTCTGGGACCCCAAATCCACCTCCGGGGACCCCAAATCCACCTCAGGGACCCCAAATCCACCTCTGGGACCCCCCAAATCCGCCTTTTCCCCACCCCAGGGATCCCAAATTTCCCTTGCTCCCCACCCCAGGGACCCCAGGTCTGCCCCATTCCCCTGATGGATTTTTGGGGCGCTCACAGCTGCACCCCAAATAATTTGGGGGGCGCCGGATGATCCCTGATGGATTTTGGGGCACCCTGAGGGGGCACCCAGAACTCCCCATGAATTTTTTGGGGGGGCCACTGAGAACTCCCCGATGGAATTTTGGGTTCTCCCTCAATTTTTGGGATTTTTGGGTTCTCCCTCAATTTTTGGGGGGCACTGAGAACTCCCCGATGGGTTTTTGGGTTCTCTCTCAATTTTTGGGATTTTTGGGTTCTCTCTCAATTTTTGGGGGGCACTGAGAATTCCCCGATGGATTTTTGGGGGGCACTGAGAACTCCCCAAGGGATTTTTGGGTTCTCCCTCAATTTTTGGGATTTTTGGGTTCTCCCTGAATTTTTGGGGGGCACTGAGAACTCCCCGAGGGATTTTTGGGTTCCCTGTCAATTTTTTGGGGGGACACTGAGAACTTCCCGATGGATTTTTGGGTTCTCCCTCAAATTTTGGGGGGCACTGAGAATTCCCCGATGGGTTTTTTGGGTTCTCCCTCAATTTTTGGGGGGCACTGAGAATTCCCCGATGGATTTTTGGGTTCTCTGTCAATTTTTGGGAATTTTGGGTTCTCCCTCAATTTTTGGGATTTTTGGGTTCTCTCTCAGTTTTTGGGATTTTTGGGTTCTCTCTCAATTTTTGGGGGGCACTGAGAATTCCCCGATGGATTTTTGGGTTCTCTCTCAATTTTTGGGATTTTTGGGTTCTCTCTCAATTTTTTGGGGGGACACTGAGAACTCCCCGATGGAATTTTGGGCCACCCAGAGCAGAACCCCAAATATTTCGGATTTTGGGGTACCAGGACACCCCCCAAAAAAAAGGGACAAAAAGGACCTGGAGGGGGCCAAGCACTCGGAATCCACCACAAAAAACTCCAACGATTTCCAAGATTTTTATTTCAAACCCTTTCCCCCTTCCCTTCCCACGGCAAAAAATCAAAAAAAAAAAAAAAATCCCAAACTACCCCAAAAAAAAAAACCCCAAAAATCGACGATAAAAATGAGTTTTACAAACACCAAGTCAGCTCTTCCTGGCTGACCCCGTGGGGCAAAAAAAAACACCCCAAAAAAACCCCAAAACCCCCAAAATTCAGGAATTCCACGCCAGCAGTTCCTAAAATCCCCACAAGAGGCCAAACATGCCTATAAATACAATATTTACACACCAACCCCACAGCTCCCCACCCCAAAAAATAACCAAACACACCCAAAAGTGCATTTGTGGTTCATATCAAAACCCATTATTATTATTATTATTATTATTATTATTAATTAATTTTTTTTTTTCATTAAATCTGAAAGATTGGCCTGCAAAGTCCGTTTGGTTTTTTTTTATTATTATTTTTTTTTTAACCATTTAGTAACTTTTCTCATATATTTACGAAAATAAATTATACAGCCACTATTTGAATAAATTAAGCAAAAAAAAAAAAAAAAAAAAAAAAAAAAAAAAAAAAAAAAAAAAAAAAAAAAAAAAAAAAATTTAAAATTAAAATTAAAATTAAAATTTTTTTTTAAAAAAGGGGGGTGGATAAAAATAAAAAAATCAAAATAAAATGAAGCAAAAGCTGCAATTTTTTTTTTGTTGTTTTTTCGTTAATTCCAAAGGGTGATTCCCAAAATCCTGGGAATCTCCTGCCCTGGGAGCTGCTGGAATTTGCTCCTTCCTCCTCCAAAGCTGAGGCTGGATCCCCTGAAATTCCTGGGGACTGGGGGGAAGCCCCGGACTGGGAGCACTGGGAGCACCCCGGGGTGGATTTTTAGGGTCTGGGAGCACCCTAGGGTGCCACTGGGAGCACTGGGAGCACCCCAAGGATGGATTTTTAGGGACTGGGAGCACCCTAGGGTGCCACTGGGAACACTGGGAATGACCCAAGATGGATTTTGGGGCACTGGGAGCACTGGGAGCACCCTGGGGTGGATTTTTAGGGACTGGAAAAACCCCAAGGATGGATTTTTAGGGACTGGGAGCACCCTAGGGTGACACTGGGAACACTGGGAATGGCTCAAGGTGGATTTTGGGGCACTGGGAGCACCCCAGGGTGGCACTGGGAGCACTGGGAGCACCCCAAGGATGGATTTTTAGGGACTGGGAGCACCCTGGGGTGGCACTGGGAGCACTGGGAATGATCCAAGATGGATTTTGGGGCACTGGGAGCACTGGGAGCACCCCAGGGTGGCACTGGGAGCACCCCAAGGTGTATTTTTAGGGACTGGGAGCACCCCAGGGTGGGATTTTGGAGCACTGGGAGCACCCCAAGGTGGCACTGGGAGCACTGGGAATGGCTCAAGGTGGATTTTGGAGCACTGGGAGCACCCCAAGGTGGATTTTTAGGGTCTGGGAGCACCCTGGGGTGGCACTGGGAACACTGGGAATGACCCAAGATGGATTTGGGGGTGCTGGGAGCACCCTGGGGTGGATTTTGGGGCACTGGGAGCACCCTAGGGTGGGATTTTGGGGCACTGGGAGCACCCTAGGGTGGGATTTTGGGGCACTGGGAGCACCCCAAGGTGGCACTGGGAACACTGGGAATGGCTCAAGGTGGATTTTGGGGCACTGGGAGCACCCCAGGATGGATTTTTAGGGACTGGGAGCACCCTAGGGTGACACTGGGAGCACTGGGAGCACCCCAGGATGGATTTTTAGGGACTGGGAGCACCCTGGGGTGGCACTGGGAGCACTGGGAATGACCCAAGATGGATTTGGGGGCACTGGGAGCACCCCAGGGTGGCACTGGGAGCACCCTAGGGTGGGATTTTGGGACACTGGGAGCACTTGGGGAACCCCAGGATGGGATTTTGGGAATTGGGAGCACCCCAAGGTGGATTTCGGGACACTGGAACACCCCAGGATGGGATTTGGGGAATTGGGAGCACCCAAGGGTGGCAAAAAAACCCCCCCAAAAAAAACCCCAGCGCCCCCCATTCCCAAAGAAAAGTGGGAATGCTGCCACCACCACCCCATGGCAAAAAAACCAGGATTTCCCCTGGATTCCTTCCCAAATTCCCAAATTCCCTGCATCCCATTATCCATCCCTGATCCACTTTTCCTTTTTTTTTTTTTTTTCCCAGAGTCTCATTTTGGTTTTTTTGGGAAGAAAAACTGGACCAGGCTGGTTTTTAGGAAGCTTTTTCCCTCACAAAATCCCACGAGGCATTTCCACGGATTTTTCAAGCTCGGTTTCATCCAAAAACCTGGAATTTTTTTTTAAGGATTTTGGCTTTTTTCTTTGTTTGTTTTTTGGTTTTTTTTTCCCTCTCCAAATCCCAGCTGGAGCAGGCAGGATTTGCAGGATTTGTAGCACCTTCCGTGGCAAAAGCAGCTTGGAATTTTTTTTTTTTTTCCCATGAAAATCCACAAAAATTCCAGGATTTGGCATCATCCCCCCCCCACTTCCCACACAGGTCCTGGCAGCTCGCAGGGAATCCTCAGATCCAGCAGGAAAATTCCTTGGATTCAGAGCTGCTCCTTGAAAACACAGCAGGGAAAGAAGAATTCCTCCAGAATTCCCAGCTGGAATTCCTGCTCAGGGGATGGAGCTCGGGAATCCCAAAGGGGTGAAGGAGGGAATTTGTGCCCAAAAAATCGGGAAAAATCCACAATTCTCCTGGATTTGCTGTTCCCAAAATATCCCAGGGACACGAGGGAGCTGCTCCAGCAGAGGAAATCTTCATTCCCAGCCTCTGGAATCCACCAGGCTGGGAAAAGCCCATCCCAAATTTTGGGATCCCTGGAGAGCTCCGGAAATTCCAGCAGCTTTTCCACCTCCCAGGGGAATCTTCCAGGAATTTTCCCTTTGGATCCATCACATCCCACGCTCCTCCTTCCTCTTCTTCTTCAAGCTTTTCCCAGGATGTTCCTGCCAATCCTGGAAGGGTTTGGATCTGTTTTTTTCCCAAAATCCTGGGAAGCTGTGGAGCTGCTGAGAATTCCATATTTTATTTCTTCCCGGGGTTATTCCCAGGGGTTATTCCAACCCCCCTGGCTCCGTTTGCAGCTCTCCAGCGAGGATCAAAACCTTGGAACAGAGGGATCTTCCCAGAAAATTCCCCAAGGTGGCATCAGAAAATCCAGGGTTTTTTTGGTTTTTTTGTTTTTTTTCTCATGCTGAAAAATCAAATTAAAAAATAAAAAAATAAAAAAAATAAAAAAAATCCAGAGACATCCAAACCGAAAACTTCCAGGAAAAGTTGGGAATAGTGCCGTGACATTCTTCGTCCCGCGGGGATCCCGCGGGGCCGGGAATCCTTTTCCCAGGAGGAATCCTGCTCTGCTGGCTTTCCCGGGAATGCTGGGATTCCTGGGATTCCTGGGAATGCTGGGCCCTCTCCTCCAGGGAAAAGAGCAGCAGCAGCAGCAGCAGGAGCTCGGCTTCCCACCACGGCACGAGGGCGACAACCAAATTCCTGCCGGGAAAAAACACCGGGAATTGGGATCAGATGGGATCGGAGGGATTGAGACCAATCCCAGCCCATTCCCAGCCCATTCCCAACCATTCCCACACCATTCCCACATCATTCCCAGCCCATTCCCAACAATCCCAGCCCATTCCCAGCCTTTCCCAGCCCATTCCCAACAATCCCAGCCCATTCCCAATCATCCCAACCATCCCAGCCCATTCCCAACCATCCCAGACCATTCCTACACCATTCTTGACCATTCCCAGACCACCCCTGAACCATTCCAGACAATTCCCAGATCATTCCTGACCATTCCCAACCAATCCCAGACCATCCCTGAACCATTCCTGACCTATCCCACCCCATTCCCAGCCCATTCCTGGACCATTCCCAGCCATCCCAGCCCATTCCCACCCCATTCCCA